GCGGTTTGTAGAGGGTATTTTGATCATAATTCATGCAAGTGTGGTTAACAGCGGTTCATAGAAGCTATTAGTGGAAAAAATCAGCTAATGTCTGTATGTGAAATAATTATGCAGAAAATTATTCTGCACTTCTTTACGTATGTCCATAGGTTTTTTCTAGACAAGCTGAAAGTCTTCAGCATATCTCCAGGGTTATTACATTCGGACCGTGAAGGGTAACATCAATGTTAGATTGTTGCCTTGAAGATCAAGAACTACTTAGGAAGCAGACCGATTTAGTGAGAAATTAATAAACAGAAAGGAAGTAGCAACAATTGTCAAAATGCGTATTATAGCAAATTAAAGTTATTGTATATATAGGGCTGCAGTATAAAAAAGCGAAACATTTTTATATATCATTATTTTTGTGGCTGCTTGGTCGATATGAGATCACTTGTTTTCCAAAGAAACTAAGGATTTAACGGCACTATTATGTCATTGTTAAAATAAAATTTTCAAAATTATTTCTTGCCTTAGTAGACATTTGCATTTTTAGTCCGTAAATGCAGAAATTCGAATGTTTTCCCTTTTTGAAATGGGAAAACTTATAATATATGTGTTAAAGCCATGTTTTTCAAGCACAAGATGTTCGCTTTCAGTATGAAGTAAACTCTTATTGGACAACAGGGAAACGGAGGGAAGCAGAGAAACCATTACATGGTTTTTCCTCTTTGTAATCCTGTGTTATTTTGTAAACAGATTAATCGTCAAGGTAACGCTTATGCAATACAAATAGTAATCAGTGCTGCACAATACATTAAACCTATTTAGATAATTTAAGAGTTTGAACGTGGTAAAGAACATTATAACCGGAAACCATTTAAGTGAAGAAGAAGTTTGAAAAAATGATTATTATTATTCGCCAAAGTTGATATGTTAAGTTTGCCAAACGTTCGTAACATGTGGAAATAGATAAGGGAGAACGGTTTATTTTATATGATGTTGATGAAGGAATTAATCTTCCTCTTTGGTTTTTTTTTTCACTTGTGTATCTCTTTCTTTTGAAAACATTATAATGTTCACAGTTCCTGATCAAATAACTTATGCATCATTAGATTTGACTTTATTATTATTATTATTATAAATTTAGCCAGAGAATAAATTCTAAGACTAAAGTCTTACAGCACTAGAATCTAACGCTCTTGGCTTTATTAAAAACTCTAGCGCACTTGAGATTTGAACCCAAGACCATTGAGTTCCTAGTCGAGACTCTTGCCTACTCGTCACTCAGGCGAATAGATTTTGACTTTATCCGATTGTTGCAGTCCTTTTGTCTTATCTCTGTCCGTCTCTACCCAAATGAATCTATATGCAGCAATTGTAGATGACATGGAGAACGAATTTTACCAAAATTTTTTTGAAAGTCTTTTTATCGATGCTTTTAATCTAATACTGTGTTGATTGTTGAGCTATTGAAAATTCTATTCTGCCGGAAAAAATTATTGTCTCTTATTCTTCTTACTTATTATACTTGCTGTGCAAAACATAGAAGCGTTTGGTTTATGCTAGGATGTCTGGGTTAAATCGAGCAGAAGCTAACATGATTATTGGTTGCTATGGTGTAACAAATTGTAGGGTGAAAGGCAGGCTGATTGTTACAGAGAGATCTTGAAAACAATTAAAAAAAGTACTATTGATGGTCATGCTCCAAAATATTTGATGACTTGATGTTTAACAGATTTTTCATTTTCTCAAGAAAATTTAAATTTTTTATGGCCATCAAGGTTAGCGTTTATTCGAGCTGCAAAATATTCGACATGTAGATATTATATGTTTATTCATTATAATAATATCATACTATACAATAATAACACATCATATAAAATATCGTACTATATAATAATATCATACCATATAAATCTAAAGCGTAAATTAGAATATTTATATTAATTTAAGGTATGGGAGTATAAATAATACCATAAGACTGAATAGTAGAGCATTTACATGAGCATACGAATATACGAGTTGTCTCGAAAAATATTTATTTATTCATCAATCTGTTTATTTTGTGCTCTTCAAAGTAATCCCCCTTAGATATAATGTGTATAAAGAAGTGCCAGCGCTTGTTCCAATCCTTGAAAAATTTTTGCCATGTGTCTACTGGTCTGGCTTCGATTCGATTTTCATTTTAATCGTGGCACATTTCCATCCTTTTATCGGTATTTTCAGTTTTGGAAACAGGCAAAACTCGCAGGGGGTCAAGTTCGTTGGATACCTCGCATAGGCATAATTGCGATGCGGTTTTTGGCTTTTGGAAATAAAAGTCTTTTCAGTTTATATTGTTCTGTGGGGATGTCCTTTGACCGATTTGTCCCATTTTCAATAACAGCCTGTCAGTGAAAAATGGATCAAAACGAGACGTTACTACAAAATGAACAAAACTATTATTACAAATTTTTCAATTGTATGTTTAATAAAGACTAGCCTTTTAATGGATGTTATTAAATCATTTGTCGGTCTAATGGAATATGTCAAGATCCAAATATGTTGGGCATAATTATAATAAGCTTTGATTTCTGCAAGAAATCATGCGAAATCATCCGAAATCGAGTTGAATCGACATATCTTTCTTGCATGTACTTTCCTGTGAGTAAATCCAGCTAATGTATTTTTAAGCGAAGATACGTTCTGTGGCGTAAATAAAAGTCAACATATTTACAAAGAAATTAGTAAAAACACTATTGCCCATCATGGCCTATTGAATACAGTCCAACACCTGCAGTTGTTCATGCAACAATTTTGCATAATAAAGCGTTAGACTGAAAGTGGTACTAAGTTCCATCAAAATATCTCAAAAATTGCAATCTTTAGAAAACAAATCGGATGGGCGGACATATAACCTTAGATACGTTCAGAAAGTAGTTCTAGAACGATCAACTTATTGAATTGTTGAAACGTTTGCCACGTCCAATAACGTATATATCCTTGAACAGTGTCACAACCTGGATCGGTATTGGTGTTGCCGTCCATTTAATGTCTATGGTTAGCATTGAAAATGAAACAAATTGGGATTTTTAGCTCATTCCTCATTAATCACAAGACAGTTAAAAGGGCCAAAATTTGTATGGGTTCTCTGTAAAAATGGAAGAAAACAGTCACGCTTATCTGATATTATAGCATCGAAGTTCAGTTTTGTTTATTCTTTTTTCTAAGATAAACGTAATGGACATAAAAGATTTCGTCACAACTGAATATAATTTTGTTACTTGTTTTTATTTCTTCGCTTTCTTTCTTTGTATGCGTATTAAATGTGTGCTATCACCCCTTTCCAAGCTTTAGGTGTAAATAAAATTCATCTTTTGTCCGTTTATTTTCGCCTCTACTGTAATTACATTTCCTTTAAAGAATCCTTAACGTAAATCAGTTAGCCTTTGCTTCCTTCTCAGATTATGTGCCAATTATCGTTGGATTTTTTCTGCATTTTCACACTATTTTTCTTAAGATTATCTGATGTATTTACTTTTGTTTGCTATATAGCTAGAGAAATAAAAGAACGAACGAACATTTACTCATTGTTTGGTAAGGAAGTAAACGAAGTAATTTCTGCTTTGTCCGATTACTTTTAAAAATAAAAGATTTTATGTTGCCCTTCCTGGGGTTGGGGCACATTTGCGGAATACATTTAATTAAATTACCTTTGAACTGTAATTTCAGGTGTGAAAAGATTTAAAGAGAATTTTGTGTCCACAATCGGAAGACTAGTGCATAGTACAAGGAATGTGCTCTTTTCGTGCAACGGTGACGATTAGAAAGAAGAGAGGAAAGAGATGCGGTGGTGGTGGGTGTAGCCTAGCAGATATGGGCGCCATCGATAAATGTCATGCCTTTACTTGTTGAACGAATGGCCAGAGTTGGCCAGTTTAGAGTAAAGCTGCTAGCTGGCCAGAGTAAACTGGCCAGCTATGGCCAGAGTAAACTCTGTCGTACTTGAGCTATGAAATAACGAACACTGACTAGATTCGTAGTCGTGATTCTTATCTACTCGGCTTTTCAGTTATGCTCAATAGAAACTCCATCTAATATAGATATTTTCGATCAGCGTATAGTAATACATATATATATAGCAGATTTCATTCGCTTTTAAGATGGAAAATTTAATTATGCATATTAAGCATAGAAAGTCTACAGATCAAGTTGAAAACTCAGTTGCAAAGCAGCAGCAATGCTGGTACAATATATCCTTGTAGTACATAGTATCTCAAAATTCATGATAATATGTTGCTAATCCAAACAGATAATGACGTGACAGAAGACAATTCAGGGTTATTAGAAATGGAGTGCTATAGAATAACGCGTTTTTATTGTTGAACAATATTTTAAGATTTATAAAGGTTTGGCAGGTGCAGTTTGAACAAAATCGTCTTCGGTGGCAATTGGGGAATGCATTCACAATTGTCACTGTCACTTTTTGGTGCTAATTTCGAGCTGGAAACAACATCGTACAATTCTCATTCGAAAACGCAGTTGGTGAAGCAATAAAAAATTAATGCTCGCCATCAAGCCTTTCGTGTCTAAATTCCAAGATATGGATGTGGAGAGCATGCGCTTTCAACAAGACTATGGCAGATGTATAATTTAATTAGCGCGCAACCCATTTCGTGGTCGGGCAACCGTAACCATCTATGCCTTTAAGAAGAATATTGAGCGCTTTTTCAAAGAGATTCAATCAAAAATTGTGCGTTGCACCCGCTTGAGTGGCCAACTAGATAAGACGCGGCTGCTAAGTGCGTACTCGCGGGCTCAAAATCCAAGTTGGGTATAGTCTGCTTCGGTAGTAGCTATAGATGATTGATCAGTCGTTAAAGCTATTAGCTACCTTCCTATCTCTTCCTCTTTCCTCATTCCTTCTTTAATATCACTATTTTACACAAATAGGATTATCCCGTGAGTGATTGGTAAATTTAAAAAAAAAAAGAAGAGAATATCGTTTTTCCTCCTCCTGTAATGCAATAAAAAAGGTTCATGTCATAATACTTTCTTCCAAGTAAGTGCTTGGTATTGAAAAACCAAACAAGTGCAAGATCAAAGAAGATCAAATGTTGTCATTTATAAGCGAGTTTTCATAAATTCAAATTTATTCAAAATTTATATAGCCATCCCCACAAAAAGGTTTAGCCTTTTACGTAAATACATGTATAATGATATAAGTAAATATATACATAGACATTTAAAAATTTAATTTTAGGTAAGATTTTTACTACAGAATCTCTTTCACAAAACGGTAATTATCATCGACACAAATATCACCAAGAGCCACAATTGATTTTCCGTTGTGGTTTACCGCTCAGCCTCCGTAGGAAACATCTACATGCAGTAAACAGTAAAGACAATAAATAGAATAAACGATCCATGTAAATACAGAAAGATTCGTCTGCAAGTGGACCTAGCATGTTTAGCGATCTTTCGACTTTTTTGAGTGGATCAGCTATTTGTAAATGGGAATTATTTGATATATGTATAAAATCTTTTAGTGAACAATCCGAATTTGTCGTTGATGAATTCTGGATTTGTTGCATATCGTTTTCATCTGAAATGAGATTGGCGGGAAACTGGTTAAATTCTTCCATATTGCATTCCCGTGATAACATATGAATTTGTCTCGCAAGTTCTCGACGTTGTTCTCGTTTCAAAAATATTACATAGGTTTCCCCACACTTCAAATTCGGTAGTCTGGATCCTAGCAAACTGAACGGCGTCTTCATGTCAGCGAATTTTTTTTGTTCAATTTGCTTTAAGCGATTGGCCAATAAACATTTAACTATATTATCGTCGAAAATTTTTACCATTTTTAAATCGATTTTTATATTTTGATTAGAGTTTGAATTTAAATTGTTCTTGTTGCTTCGTTTTTTGCCCATTTTTTCATTTCATTATAAAACACAATAGAATTTTTATTGGCTTTCGAAGAGGCATTTGATCAGGTGTTTTTCCCTTCTCTTCCTAATGCGAAGGTAACGTTTCAAAGGGCATTATAATGCCCGAAGGCAATATTATGAATATAATACGGGCAGCTTGACAAGTATCGAAGTGAGTCGGATGGGAGGATACGGTTGAATTTTTGAACACTTCATATACTTGGCAGCCATTGTATTGATTTTGTACTTTGGTCCATAGCCAACGTGGCGTAGTCGCTTTGGATGAACAAAACCATTTTTCTTTCACTTTACGACAGGCTAAGGAGCACAATGAAAATGATCTTTTCAGAATGTTAACATTCACGCCTTGCCGAGAATGCTCTTTGCAACCGTATTCATCCTTTACTGCACCTCGATTAGAGCAAGGATTTTTTATACAAGGCATTAACACCTGTGCTGGACTAATGTTCATTTTAGAGCAGACATAATGTTTTTCGCATGAACTTGGGCTGCAGTCTGTACCTAAAAGTTATTTTGTTTAAAAGAATGAAAAAAATATTTATTGTCGAATGGAATAGGTACCCTTGGTGAATGGAGAGATCCTTGAACAGGAAAGGCATTGCTTAGGGGAACTCTCTATTGATCGCACAGTGAACTCGCATTCATTATCGATACTTTCTTGTGAAGGAGTCGTCATATTAAAGTATCTTTGAAATTTGCGAGCGCCCAGCAAATGTAGCAAACGGTCCAAAGCGGCGGTTAGCGACTCATCCGGAAAAGGACCAAAACTATTTGAGCACGGAGTACGAGATTTTTTCAATGCTTTCGCTATGAGAGCACATCGGGGCGGAGGTGGTGGAGAACAGATCATTTCCATTTGATTTTAAATTGTTGCTTTCACTATTTTTGTAAGATTATTAATACTTTTTTAGTTACTTGTTAGCTGAAAATTTTATTTATTAATTAATTAGCCATTTTTAAGACATTATTGTGCGCAATATTTATTGTTTTTATTTTATTATTTGAAAGTATTGAAAAATCTGATTACTTCCAATAACTACATAGGGTTGCTCGATGTAAAAGTCGAAGGTCACAGTTAAATAAACTATTGTTAATGTTTTTACTCTTACTGGTTATTTATTATTCATGTTATGATTGATATGGGGTTCGAATAACTTGAATTGAAATTTACGAAATGATTTGTGAAAGATCAAGGTTGCACTCTTTCTTCAGATCGAGGAGTGCAGGCGGTTTAAGAACGCATCTTCATTGTAAATTCTTCTTAATTCTGAATTAAGAGGGATTATTACTAATTCTCAACTATGAGCCTTCTCTTGGTTTTGGTAGAACATTTAAGGAAAAAAGTATTGTTGAGTTTTTAGGAAAACTTTGTATTATTGTGTGAGTCATATATATATATATATATAGTTTGTAGGTTATGATTTTTATACAGTACTCACTTTCAAACGAAATGTGTCAAAATTTGATGGCATAGACTTGGCAGCCAAATCCACGGCTTCGGCATCATTGGTTACGTACAACAGAATGGAAAAAGCTGATCATCAACAACATGTTAGGGAAACAAATGAAAGGGGAAATTGTAATGAAAAAAGGCGATAGTATTGTCGCCGACACTAATTTCCATATCAAATTTCATGCCAATATCTTCTACAGTTAACACGACGCACGTATCTACCTTTATCCAAAGAGGTGACATTTCGATTCGGTTTTATCTCATTCATCGCATTTAAACAGTGCAGACGAAATAATTTTTTTAGCTTTGAGACTAGTCAGAAGCCAGAGGGAACTCAAACATGTGAAATGGTGGGTATAGATAAGTTGACGTTTTGGGTGCAAAAAGGTCTTTATTTGTCGAACGACAATTATTGAGCAACAAAATACCGTTTTTTTTTTGGCCTGGCATTCAAATTAGATACCGCGGGATGGCTTATTCTCTGCCTTTATTCAGCTACTTAAACCAATCAAAAATTTACTTCCTACCATTTTCGCATTGTGTTCGAAAGTATTTTTGAAGAGTTTGAAAGCTGAATCTTCATGGTAACGCAATTCCTTTGCTGAAATATTTCATTCATTTTATAAATGAAAAATATATTTATTTAGATGAAGATAAGTAAGTAAACGTATCTCGTTTATTACTGAAGATATTCGAATGATATTAAAGACAAAGCTCAGCGTTTTTTCCTTTCTTTTCTAAACACCGCAATGCACTACTTTTCGCGAACCTCTGCTTCATTGAAATTTACTTTCAATAGCTCTATAATTTTTCCAAGTATGTGACACGCTTCGCCTTTTGCACACATCGTGGAAATGTAATGGATCTACGAATGCTTTTTTATCCATTTTTTGATAAGATTCCATTCCATTTAAAACATACTTGCTACACAGTTTAATAATCCGACTGTTGCAATAGATTCCTATAATTTTGATGTCCTATAAAATGTTTTTTGCCCCCATTCTTATCCTTATGAACTGAAGTTCAAAACCCTAAAAATAAGAATAAAGTAAAATATTTTTCTTTTTCTTATTTCGGTTTATATATATTTTTGTGATAGTAAGGAATTATAGGACGAGAGATATACCTCATACATATAAATAAAAGGCGGATTATGCCAATAAACTTTAATATACAAAATTTAGCGCATGTCCTTTGGTTAATAATTATCGTTTTAAATATTTATGTTGTTGTGCTATTGTATCGGGTAGCGAAGGCATATCGGTTCGAACGGGTTGAAAAATTGATAATAACACGAAGAGTTCGACAGAAAATCAATTGCAGGCGGAAAATTTGGTTGAAATCATTCAACAATAAAGAAATTATCGCAAGCTCCCCAACTTTGAGTTCGTACGTTTCCAGTTGCGCGGCAGATAGTGCATCGAAATCATCTACAACAGATGAATGGTGTCTAAAACCGATAAAACAAAGCAACGAACAAAACTTGCAACAGTCAAAAAATCGTTGGAAACAAAAACAACAACAACTACAAATACAGGCTATGCAACACGGGCACCGGCAGGGACGATGGCAATCGCCGTTAGAGCAACGTTTCTTCCAACTACCGCCAGTTATTTCACCATCATCGTCATCATCATCACGTACGCCTCGTAGTCAAGTTTCTACTCTACCATCTACTAAGGTAAGACAACAAGGTGCGTCAGATTCCAATAAACTGCACAGATTGCTTCTAACAGATAGTTATGGTCGTGTGATGCAAGAGATACCATTCTGTGAGTGTGATTACGCGGAAGCAGTTCGCAGAGCATGTGGTGGTGATGGTGGTTGTCCAATGTTGTAGCATTAAAGTGTAACAGTTGAACGTGGTATATGTATAGGTGTGTTGTTCATAAGTTCAAGCAAAGCAAATAAATAAAAAAGCAATAAAGTTGGAAGTAAATATGATTTTGGGAATTGTTCAACTTGAAATCGCAATATCTGGTTCAGAAACTTTAAGTAAATCTCTTTAAATCGAATATGCTACGGCAATGAGAGCATTGAGGTCTTGTTGACTTGTAACAGATTCACGCTGTCAATTCATTCCAGCATCCACTCAATCACTCATTTTGCTATAAATGATTACCGTATAAACAATAATAAGAGCTTAGGATTTGTGCTAAACGCCAGCAGTGTTGGTAGTGATGAGGGTGAAAGAATTAAGCAGAAAGTGAATTGATGCCAACTCAAATATAGAATCAAATTATTTCCTATACAAAAATGATGTTTCTGATAAGCCATAGCAGCAAACAGCAATTAATTCGGAGTCTTCTCTTTGTGATCATTGGAATTGGGTTTTATCCGAGCAGCAAGTTCATTCATCTTTTCTTTTATTCGTACTGCGTTACAGTGCGGTAAGCCTTACTGCGTTGTAAGTGCGTAGCCGGTAAAGACTAAAAAGCATAACACTTATAGCGATTGCAAAGGCATTAGGCTGCTGTTCTCCACTATCGCTTTCATTGTTTCCTCGCTTCTTTCTAATCATCGTATAGGATATATCCCGTAAGTGATTCCGTAAGTACTTAGTCGGTAAAGGCTAATGGCATAACACTTAACGGCGCTTGCAAAACCACATCCACTAGCCTGCGGCCTCTCCCTATTCTTTTCTCTCTTTCCCCACTCTTTCCAATTATTAAAGGTATAGGGACCATCCCCTGAATGATTCGCCCTCTTAAAACGAAAAGGAAACCGTCTAAGTTTGCTAACTGTTATCTCTTGTTCGAAGGAGCAGATCAACAAACGGGTTAGAGAGTTGGATAATCGAAATAAGTAGCGAAACGCATTTTTTGGAATATCGTAGAGCATTGTCTATTCATTTCGAATTGTTTATTATGAGTTCGTATATCGAAATATTTTAACAACTGTAAACATTTTCTAATGCTATCCGTATGTAAACACACACACAAACACTTAATCGTTTATTTTAAATACTTCGACATATAAGTATAAACATTTTTTAAAAAAAAATTCCCTTAAAAGGTTTCGATATCACTGTCAAAAGTACCTTTTCACACACGAATGAACCTGTATATATATATACTAGCTACTCTTAGGGGAGGGGGAGAAGGCGAAGAGAAAGTAAAGTATTACAGATTTTTACGGCAAACCAAAAGAAACAAAAAAAAAAAAGGACGAAGAGAGATGTACACACGTACGTATGCCGTAATGGTTGCGGTTGTCGTTTTCGTTATTGTATTGTATGGATGGTAGACCGCATCGAAAGGAATATGCGTGGCAAACGGCTTCTCCCGTTTTTTTCAAATAAACAGAAAAAACAAAAAATTCATTTCATTGATACGTAAGAAGTAAAAAAACAAAACATAAAGCATAAAATGGTAGTCGCAAAAGATAGGGAAAAACAGGTGATTTGTATTTGAAATATGAACGGCTTTGTTTTGGCCACATAATGGTGGACGCTGTAGAAAAGCATCAACTACAAAAGAAGATATTAGAAATAGATTTGAGCTTCTTATCTAAACTTTCCAGATATGAAAGTTCCAATGCGAAGTAAGTAATGATTAGTTATACATAGTTATACAGATGGATATTCAAGCAGGCTGCTGTATGTACGGACAGACAAGCGAAGAATAGAATGGATGATTGAACAGTTTTGTGAGTTTGTGGAAACGATCTCCAGATCGTGCACATTTTTGAATTTAATTTGTTGATATTCACAAAATGAACGTTACCGGTATAGCATGCAACCTATTCTTTCTCTAGTGATCTTTTAAGAAAGGAGCGATTTTCACAAAGCTTTCAGGTGCTAGCTAAAAAACACTTGGTAAACGAGTGAAAGCATTATATTAGCATGGGAGACAACTTACTTTTAGACATCCTATACCAATTCGCTTAGTACTCTTTAAAATAAGGCGTTATATCGGTAGTGCTCGAAAAAGTGGTTCTGTTTGTCCTTGATTTAGAACCCATTTCATTAAAAAATCTCTCAAAAATCTTGACGAACAGTTTGAACATAAAATTTTAAGACAGACAGCCAAGCGTAGATCGATTCAGAGAGCGATTCTAAATCGGCCGGTATAATAAAAGGTGCACCTATCTCAAGTCATTTTGGTTGTCTCGTACATCCGTGCAAACTTAATATACCTTTGTGCCATTGTGTGGGCTATAAAACTTATCAATATTCCACAATAAACACAATGTACCTACGTAAGCAAACGAATGTAACACTTCTTAAGAACTTATATTTCCTTTAAAAGGTTTATTCATCTTTTTCCGTTTTGCAAATGCCAGAAGATTCGAAAGCTATGACCGAAATATAGTTTACATAGTCAGTGTCTGAAATTATAGGAAGTTATAATGATCCCAAGTTCACCTATAAAATTATCTCTAGTATTGGTATAAGA